CGCCAGGTGCAAGGACACCCCCGCCCCTGGCATGCCCCAGGACGCGCAGCCCTGCCCCCGGGTGCCTGGTGCATGAGTGGCCCCACCCCCCCAGGCGCCCGGCGCATGAGTAGCCCCACCCCCCAGGCGCCCGGGAGCCTCTAAAGGTTGGGGACCACTGGTCTAGACATACCCTGGGAGCTCTCCAAGAATGGCTTTGGAGAGTGGAGGCCTGGGACAAGGATAGAAAGAATCTGGGGGCAGTCAGGTTAATTACTGTCCAAAAGATGAGCTGTATATGACATCCCAGGTGGAAGAAAGGAAAAGGGTGTATTTGGAGTCTTTTTTTCCTTTGAATTTTGGGGGAAAGGTGTTATCACAAGGGTTCTGTGGTCTATTGAACAGGCAGAAGAATAATTCTTGAGTGGAGTCTCCATAAGAGCTCCACTTTAAGTGTCAATGTGTCTCGGTGCCATCAATCAGAGATTTAAGGTAAAGGTGTCTGTACAGGTAGTAGGAGGGTTACAATGCTAATGCATTATGGGTAGCTCTATCTGAACCGTTCAGTTCAGTTCAATTGTCCTCAGCTGTACACAGCACAGGAGCAGTGCTTCACCAAACTCAAAATTAGAAAAAAGTTTATATATATATCCTTAGATATTTGCTAGTTTAAAAACAGCAATTTTGTTTTCTTCTTAGCTTGTTACATGGTCTCCTTTTATGGAATGATTATCAGTAAAGATGCCAAAATCCTCAGGATTCGAATGCTGTGAATCCTGCTACAATGCTATGTCCATTTTAGATGGGCATGCCTTATGTGTTTACTGCCTAGGAAAGGGGTACATACCCCAGAAATGCCCCACTTCAACAACCTAAAAGAGTCCACTAGAACAGGGATCTCTAGCTTAACATGATGCTGTTGGTGGACCCTTCAGTCAGAGATGAACAAGCAAATAGTCTCTCCACCCACTCCATATGAGGGAAAAAAAGAGGACATGCCTGTGGGCAAATCTGAAAAGAGGGTTTGTTCTATTCCACAGAGAGAACAACAAAAGCAGAGGTGGTCTCTTGCAAGATCACTACAATGCCATCCTACTCTCAGAAGAACTACTATGATGTTCCATGTGCCTCTGATACCAAGATCCAAGCAAAAGACAAGGTATTTAGGCACCAGCAAAAACATGCCTTTACCACGTATAGCTCCCAACTACTGGCCCTGAGCATCATCTCCAATAAAGGGACTCAGCATTGATTAATTGTATTTCTTCTTTGGTCAGGAGGAGCTTTTGTAGTTGGTCTTTAAACAGAAATTTTAAAATAGTAACCATTAATTTACACAGCATTTGAAAATACCTTTGAAAGTTCACATGTTGCTTCACTAAATCATTGGAGTAGAGATATAAAATACTACATGCCAGCAAAGGGAGCTTACATTTTACACATCTGACCCCTCCCCCTTCCAACTTATTATTAGTTGAGGCCATTCACCATCACAATAAAAAGTTGCAATTCAAGGCTATGCCCCAAGATAAGGAACAACTCAGCCTATTCAAGTGCAAAGTATACGCTTTGGGTACCCTTCAGTTTTGATTGGCCAACTATTCTGATCTACAGGTCAAATATTACTATCATAATTACACAAAATTAACAACTTTAATGAGGAAAAATAGGTGCTATTTCAGGCAACATTGAAGGGAGCCAACTCATAGCTAAAATGGCACTCCCAGCATCATTAGACACAACAGTTACAGTGATGGTAATGCACCAAAAAACATAGCTCCGGACAGTGGAATCAGCGGCCAAGCATTGTATGATTGCATAGTGGTGCATGAATGTAGCATTCGATGACCAGGTAGCCGCTCAACAAATATCACTCAATGAGACTCCTCGCATGAAGGCTGTAGAAGTAGCTATAGTTCCCGTAGAGTGGGCTTTTGGTTGGGATTGGAGAGGTTTATTGCAAATGGCATAGCAGGTGGTAATGCATGTCACTATAAGCCTTGCAATACGCTGGTTGGATAAGGCATTGCCTTTGGATCTTTCTGCAATTGATACTATCAACCAATCTGTTCTACACCATTCTCAGGTTCTGTCAATATAAATGGAAAGTGCTCGATGTATGTCCAGTGTATGGAGCAGATCTTCTCGTCAAGAAGA